GGGAGGAGGCTGCCTGCCCAGTGTGGACAGGGCCCCCAGACCAGTGGAGCCCAGAGGGGCCTGAGGGGAGTGGGGGGCTGGGCGTTGGCTGGTGTCAGCGCCTCGAGTTTAGGGGAAGCCCAGCGAGGGGCCCTGTGTACTGGTAGGGAGGGGTCGTCCTAGTGGGGAGGCCTCAGGTGCTGGAAAACAGAGCCACAGGGATTGCCTGGGGACCAAGGAACGAGGGAGTTCTGTCCCCAAACAGTTGTTCAGGTCCACCTGCTGCCACCCACCATGTTGGAGGCAGAGTTGGGGAGACCCCATGCTCCTGCTGGCCGCAGAGTGGCCACATTGCAGCTGGGCCCCGCTCGCTCCTGGGGGATGAGAAGGCCCAGCGCCTCTCCCCATGTGCTCACCACCCTCCAGCCCGGTGCCCTTGCTCCTTGGTGCTCCATGACTGGGGTCTGGGCCTCCTTCACCACATCTGAGCTCTGGGGCCTGCTGGGTGACTTCTGCCACCTCCTGGGGACCCAGCCTCTACCTTTGTCTGCCAGGAGACCCTGCTGGTGAGGTGAGGGGAGGTGAGTTTTTTGGGGGTGCTGGAGCTAGAACCCAAGCCCTGGAGCACGCTAAGCTGGTGCTCACCTCTGAGTAGCATTTCCAGTTTAAGGTTGGAGGTGGGGGTCTCAGTAAGTTGCCCAGGCTGACCTTGAACTCACCACCCTTTGGTCTCAGCCCACTGCGCCTATGCAGAGTGCCACTCTGACCTCCTTCCCGGTCTCCACACCCCGCTCAGATGTCAGCTCCTGGACAGCCAGCCCTCCTCCCCACCCCAGGATAATTGTTCCCTAGGAGCTGTGGGCAGATCTGGGCGTGCCCGTAGGTGGCCTGTGTGCGCCCTGCTGCCCAATCAGCCGCCCTCCTGGGCGCCCCCTGGGACCCTGCAGCCTGTTGGCACCAGGAGACAGTCGGGCTCCTGACAAACAAGTGGGAAGTGGGTGCGGTGGGGTGGCTCCTGCCAAAGGTACCTCTTTCTGGGCGCAAGCTGTAGACCTGGTAGTGGACCCCCTAGAACCAAGCCTTTGGGCAAGCAAGGGACAGGCCCGGCCTAGAGGCCCTCAGGCCAGGATCTAAAACCCAGGCAGCCCTCACTGCTTTTATTCTTTTTTAATTATCTTGCAGTACTGGGGCTTAAACCCAGAGCCTTCACCCCAAGTTTGTCTCCAGCTCTTCGTTGTTTTTGAGACAGGATCTTGCTGTGTTGCTAAGTTACCCAGGCAGAGTTTAACAGTATGATCCTCCTGCCTCAGCCTCCCAGAGTGCTGAGATGATAGGTGTGCGGCACCAGGCCCAGCTTAGCCTCCACCACCCATTCTTTTTTTTTTTTGCACCAGGGATTGAACTCGGGAGCTTGCGCTTTGGAGGCAGGCGTGCAGTGCTGCATCCCCGGCACCATCCCATTCTCGTAAACCAGGCGTCATCAGCGCTGCTCGCCCCTTGGCTGCCCTTCCTGTGTGGCGGCCCCATGGAGCAGAGGCGGTGGTGTTCACACAGGCCCTTTACGGGAGGCTCTCCCGCCAGTTGCAGAGGGTTTGTGGTGTGCGTCGAGTCCCCATCTCTGCTGACCCCGCAGAAGCAGTTGTTGAGCGCACCTGAACTCTCCTCCCCACTGGGTCGCCTTCTGTGTCCAGAGCGCTGCAGCCCCGGAGTCAGCAGCTGGGGCTGGAGTCTTTCTCCCCAGAGTCGAGTCTGACTCCTCCCTGTCGCCGGCCTTAAACTGCACAGAGGACCAGCCAATGCTGTGCACTTACAGGGCACAGGTAGCAGGCATAACCTGGGGCTGGGTGCTCAGTGCCTGCCTGAGTCCCTTCGATGGCGAGGACTTGGGCACACGCAGGTGTTGGCACCAGAGGGATCCGGGCTCGGTCTCCACTGGTGCCCAGGTTGAAGGACAGCAGCACCAGCAGGTGTGCATTGACTTGCACGTGCACACACCACACACACCCCTTCCTCGCTCGCACCCTGCAGCACGCAGCACTTAACTGGAAACCCTGTAGACCCACTGCCTCTGGCTCCCTAACAGGATTGGGTTTTTTTTTGTTTTTCTTTTTAGTGCTGACTATGGAGCCCAGACCCTTGCTCAGCAAGCCCTTGCCATTGAGGCGCACCCCACTACTTTTTAAACTTGGAGACATCGTCAGTCTTAAGTTTCATAAGGTGGCCTTGAAACAGATTCTCCTGCCTCAGCCTCCTGAGTAGCTGAGGTGACAGGCGTGTGCCACCTTGCACAGCTCAGCATGTTCTTAGGTTCTGTCTTATTGTGTGGCACTGGCACACTTGTTCTCCCGTCCAAGGGCAACTTTTGAGGGTTGAGGAGTACAGACATGTGCCACGTGCTTGGCTGTGCAGGCTTTGTGTATTGATATTTCCCCTTATTTAGGGAATGGACATGTGGTGGAATTGGTGGGCCAGGGGG